TGTTTTCAGAAAGTTTCCATCCACTGATGCAACAGGTGGGTGAAGGACTTTGGCATCGGGTTGTGGCTCTGTAGTGACAAGCTGTTCAATTGCTGACAAATTACTAGACTGCTGAGTCCAAGTCTTCTCATCTCTAAAAAGGGGAAACAATATACCTATTTCATAAAGCTGTGCTGGGTAAGGTGTCTGGCAGACAGGCACTCGCTACTGGTAAACAGAAGTGCCTACTATTGCTGAGACCACGATAAACTGACTTTTAGAGGGCCCTACTTTTATTTCTACTAATATTTACTTGCAATAAATTTATTACTATCAGTATTATTAGATTATCTTTCATTTAAGGAACAGTGTCTGCCTCTCTCTTGGGTCTGTATCCTGGGGTTCTGGGCTAAGCCTTCTTAGGATTGCCCCCAGTCTGCCCAAGCAGATGCGTCATCGTTCCAAAACATTCTCCCTTTCGGTACAGGATTGTCTCCCAAATTAGTTAAAGCCCGCAGCACTCTTAAGAAAATCAGGTCAGTGCAACTAGATTGTAACACAGCACTGGGACTTTAGGCACAAACACTGTGTTTGAAACATCAAGCGTGCCTGGCTTTTAACAATATGATTGACATAAAATAGCAGGTTATTTGTGCAAGGGCAGCTCCAGCCCCTAAAATCCTGGCATTTCTCAAAGAATGCCAAGACCACTTTGGACCCCATACAATTAAACGTCAGGAATCTCTTTCCAGTGCGGTCTCCCCTGGGCTGAGCCACTGCTGCTGTGATCTGGTGAAGCCTGCATGCTGAGCTGCTCTCTTTCTCCCAGGACTGGAGGAGAGAGACACAGGTGCGTGGGGACTAGGGGCCGCTGGACCACCCACTGCCCACGACTCCTCTTCTGTCAGTGGACAGATGGAGCGGTGAGGAGCTGGAACCTTGCACTGTACCTGGGACCTCAGGAAAAGGACGGCAGTGTCCCCCAGCTTCTGTTCCACTTGAGCTTTGTGAATCTGTATTCCCTTAGGGAAGTCCTATTCATCTAGGGGGAGAGCGCCGCTTTTGTTTTACCTCTGGAATTAGGAATTCAGCCTTCAGTCGAGCTAAGACGGCCTTTAGTAAGAATCAGCCTAAGTTACAAGAGCTCGTTAATTTGGGGGAAACTGCTCTTAGGGAGTGGGGCTGTTCTCTAAAAGAGTAGACCCCAGTAGCCCCAGGAGAGAAAACTTCTGCCTGCCCCTTACAGCTGATTGGTGTTCTTCGTCAGGTTGGGCTCGGGAGGAGGGT